CTTTTGCCTAGAAATGAGACAAAAGGCTTTCATCACAACATTAAAGTCATTGTAGGGCTTTTTACTTTTGATTTTTATTATTACCTTGTCTTCAGAATTCTAATTGTGACTTAGGTAGACACAGGCAATGTTGTAGTAGTTTGCTGATCTCCTATCCACTATTTTATAAAGCTTAGGCCAGACTGTAGATACTGAAAGTTGCATGGGCTGTAAGATTACGTGACCAACAAAGCCAGATGTGAATCCTCAGAACACTGACACATCAGCTCAGGAAATGCCAAAGGATAAAGGTTTATAAAAGTTGCATTTGTGAAACACTCAGCTGTAACTTAGGAATATTTTTTTTGTTTGTAATAAAAACACTTCTGCCAGGGGAAAAAAACAGATCTAGTATGCTAGATATGATTCATATATTATCTAATAACTAGAGAAATGTAAGAAGCACAGTTTAGCTTAAAAAAATAATAAAAAATAAACAAACAAAAAAACCCCCACAAAACCCAGGAAAAGAACCATCCCTAACTTCAAGAAATAACAAAAAAAAAAAAAAAAAGAAAGATTGTTCATTTATAGAGCTAAGCAAGATTGTGTTCATAATGGAGAAAGACTGAACTTTATTATCAAAGATTACCAGTAACTTTGAATACAACTACATGAATTAGTATTGCAGTTCAGAGGCAAGACTTTCAACATGGGTGTGAGTTAATGGGTGGCTGGCACAAAACAAGGAGTAGTCCTATGAAGTTTCTTCTGTCTCTGGAGAACCTGAGTACAGACATTGCCTGAAGTAGAATATTAAGCACACTTTTTTATAACAGAATAGTTTTGCTAATTTCAAGTACCTTCTACTGGATTTACAATGACATATGATAGTGAAGCTCAATTACTGAGCATCAGTACATTGAGAGTATTCATAGAACCATAGAATGGTTTGGGTTGGAAGGGACTTTGTCTAGTTCAAACGCCCCTGCCATAGGCAGGGACACCTTCCACTAGACCAGCTTGCACCAACTCCCCATACAACCTGGCCTTGAACACTTCCACGGATGGGGCTTCCACAACTTCCCTGGGCAACCTGTGCCAGTGTCTCACCACTCTCACATTAGAGAATTTCTTCCTAATGTCTAACCTAAATCTCTCCTCTCCCATTTTAAAGCCATCACCCCTTCTCCTATCACTACACACCCTGGTAAAAAATCCCTTCCCAGCTTTTCTGTAGCCCCTTCAGTTACCAGAATGCTTCTATAAGGTCTCCTCAGAGCCCTCTTTTCTCCAGGCCAATCAATCCCAAGTCACTCAGCCTGTCTTCATAGGACAGGTAATTCAACCCTCTGATTCTTACTTCACCTTTGGATTTCAAACAATTGACAAAAGTAATTGATACTCCAGAACACTACACTGGCCTAATTCAAGAACAAGTAAGGTCATAAAATTCTGAACTACTAGTGGAGGATGCATAAAACATGTTATAATTTATTTTGGTAAGAATTCCAAGATGGAGAATCCCATGTTTCCCTTTTCAGGTAGCAGCTGCTCCCACAAAAAGGTTCATTCCAGACCATACCCTGTTCATTCCCCTTCATTGCCCACTCCAAGCATATATGTTAATATTGCAAGAAAAATACAGGATTGCATTATAGAAACAGACTTCCTATAAAATACACTACTGTCTCCATTCTATCTGGATTTTAGATGCCTTGGTAATGGTTTATCTTGGTTCATTTAACAACAGCAACAAAATACAGAGAGTCCTGAAAATTAAATAGACTTTAAAAATCCATTCTTTTATGCTTATTATTATTTTTCTTGCTCCCCTCTTTTTTGAGTTCTCACATAAATCCTATTATGAGTGGGATTTATTGTTCAATTTAATAGAATTTATTCTCTTCTATTCTTCTCCCAAGAAAGCCAAATAAATTTTACAATGACATAAGCCTACTGAAGTGACACTTAGAGCTAGATGAAAAGCAAAATGTGGGGTTTCGAGGATTTTTTAAACATTTTTTGTCAAAATCGAAGCAGCACAACAAAGCAAACTGTAGTTTCCAAAACTGCAGATCTAAGAGAAGCTAACTTTCTCGTGAGCTAACATGACACTGAATTTCACTGAACAGTTATAGAACCTTCCATCTGACTCTACTTCATGGCAAATCCAAAAATACTGTTTTCTTTTTTCTGACTGTATGCCTGGGGGGTCTGCCACAGAGCTGGGGTACATGATGTTGACAGAGTTCTACAGAATTAATTTAGTCAAAGTAATGCCTTTTTTCCAGAAATTGCCTTTATTCCCAAGATGTTATAAATAAAGAATCTGAGTAAAGAGAACAAAAAAATCTGCTCAGGTATTATGAGACTGCCTTTAATATCCTGCTTGTACAATAATTATTTCACATGTGTTCGGCTCACTGCAGGCAAAAAAACAGAGCTCAGATCTGGCAATGAGAAGTATGGGAGATAAGAGAGGAGACTATCACCTGCAGATCCCACAAGCTGTCAATGAGACAAGAAGTTTAAGGGAAGCAAATCTTGGTTTTCTGGATGACTGGTGAAAGCAGGTCCTGGTCTGAGCCAGGATAGAACCAATTTTCTTTCTAGTAATTTAACTTTCAGTTAAGTTTATTCTAAGTAGCTGGAGTGGCTGAAATTATCAGTATATTTTCAGTCACTGTCTGCTTCTAAGACTGATAATGCTTAATGTTTTAGTTACAGCTTAGAGGATGGTAAGCAGAGCGAAGGCCACCACCTGGATCTGAGAAAACATCTTGTACCATTAACTTAATTGCTGATCCAGCATTAATCCATGAAAAGGTGATTTACAAATCAAATTGATACTCATCTTTTGAGGAATGGTGCAAAATTAACATCCTTTAAAGTGGAATGCAGCTAACATGCAAGGAAGTTGTCGGGGGCTGGTACTGGGGCTTTTGCTGGCTTGAAAGGCATTTTGTTTAGTCTTATGTGGGGGGAGAGAAGATGGACCATTTCCCACAGAAGTGTACCACTGTAATTCCCCAGCTGTCCCTAGTTGTTAGCAACATCAAGAAAGCTTGGACACCAGCACAGAGGGTAGAGTTCAAACACCACGGCAAAGCTCTTTGGTAAACATGAGGACCCGAAGGTGCCATGGAGCTAATAAGCTGCACTTTTGGAGAAAATATGGCTGGACTTTCTAATCACATGGGGATCCGAAGGTCTCCCAGAACTGTTAAGTCTCATATTTGATATCCTTTGCCAAAAATCTGCCACTTTTCTGACAAATTGTCATCCTTAGTGAACATTACTCATTATAATATTATTTTAATAGTACAACACACCTCCAGCCCAAAAGCTACCCACCTCCTCTAGTTTATACCTTTAAAAGCAAAGCAAGAGAATTTACACCAATCATGACAAAGGTATGTATGACTAGAGTCCCTCAAGCTCCATCTGTAAGATAACAACCCTATGAAAAGGGCCTAAGAGATGAAGGATGTCAGGGAGCATGTCATCAACATCAGAAAAGATAGAATCACCAGGCCTTTGCCAAGATTATCCTTGACTTCTGGGATCAGTCAGTGGGCTGACCCTCTCTTCCCCCATAGAGACACCTTTGGGTAAGATACAAACACTTGGTTATGCCAACTGCACCCCGAGAAACTTAGAAACCTCCCTAGAACTTCCTTTTCTTTTTCCCCTTTATCTTTCCTTCTTTTTTTTTCTTTCCTTTTCTCCTTCTTTCTTATTAACCAATGGTTTAGTAGTCAGGCGATATTATTCATATTCTTGATATTTGCACCTGCTTTGTAGTCAGCTAATTTATCACTGGCAATCCAGATAACTTGTGTATCAGTTGCTTCAATAAATTACACTATTCTTACACTTCACTGAGTGTGTCATCTCTGAATATGGACCATACATTTGAGTGTGGCTGTGCTGGTTCAGGTGCTGTGCAGCTAAGCAGGTGGAGTGGTGTTAGCAGTGCATCTGGACCAGTGGTAGTCCAACATAGGTGTTGGGCACAACTGGACAAGTAATACTGATTTGGGCATCACTCAGAAACTAAGCCCAGCCAGTCCCAGTCCCTCTGATATCTGAGGATCAGCTGTAATGCAAAGGGTTTAATTTCTGCCAAATTATTTTAGCCCTTCTGTAACGTGAACAAGTATGTCCTAACAAAACTAAATTCTAGCATCTGCCTCAGCCCCAGGATCACCAGGAAAGTCTAGAACAATTACTTTACACAAGTTTTCAAAGTAGGTTTGATAAGTTTTACCTTCCTCATTTCCCTCTACTGCTTATTTAAAACATCTTATTATCAGTAGAACAGACCACAGAACGCTGCAAAGCATTCTGAACTAAAGCTTTGCAAAGTGGGCATCTAGTATTTGTATATCCTAATGCTACTTTGATTCAATTCCTTGCCTGCAAAGTGAGGATAACAAAAGACACCATCTTGAAGTTGACAGATGAAAATCAATTAATTGCCTGTGGAGTGCTTTGATACTGGAGTGCTGAATATCACTGAGAAACCCATGAGGAAATTAATAATTCTGTCTTCAGCACAAGGCTGAATATTGAGCAGTAATCGTGGTCTAGAACTGCACAATGTGCAAAAGGAAAACAAAGCCATGAAGAGTTGTTGACAGAGACCACTGAGTAGGGAAGGTGTGCATACACCTACTCCCAAACTGTAATGCAGATACCCAGCACACCCAAATTAATACTGTACATGAGACCTTCATGGTCATGTTTCCTCATTTTTTTTCAGTTCTTGATTCTCCTACATTTTAATGCAATTTTCTGTATGTAAGATATACATGTATTCCAGTGGTAGGTAAGAAACAATTCTATTTCCTGTCCAGATTAAATATAATATCTTTATAGGAGATCCTCTTAGAAAGCTATGTTTCCAAATTCAGGGAAGCGCAATGAATGAACTAGCTGTGGTCCTATACTACTTGAACTATCTGTGTCCAGATTTTGGAAAGGAAAAGGAAGCAATACATTTTACTTAAACTCACCACACGTTTTAATTGCACAGAACTCCCAAGGGGTGTTGGGGTCAAGAGTGTAGCACCATGGTCTCAGCTTGCCATCAGGATTGCGGCAGTAATTATCATCAAAGCCCTTGTCAGGATATCTGCAAACCACAACGAGAAACGTGTCAGGGAAGTCTTCCTGGCAACACTGCACAGGCTTGAACAAGGTACTTTAAGGACAGTCTTCAACAGAGGGAAACAAGAAGCAGTTCCCATTAACTTTGGGTCCCATCCTGTGACTTGGATGCAGACTCTCTTTAACACTCTTAGGACCTTAGTAACATAAAATTTCTTTCCAAATATGCAGCAGAATCAGACCTTCACTAAGGGGATTCCCTGCTGTGCTAACTCATAAGATACCGGATGGGGTAACTCTGCTAATTGCTAAATTCTTGCCCTTATGTCTGTCAACTGATGACCAGATGCTAAAGCCACTCTTTTTTTTAAACAGCCCAATTAAGTGTGGATTATATAAACACTCCCTGGCATGCTGGACTCATTAAGAAAACAGGTTCTTCAGTGCAACAGCCCTGGGTTCAAACTGAAAGCTATTTTGAATAGCTATGTTACTAATGATAGCTCCATTTTTGTAATAGAGCTCATTCTAGGTCATGCCCTCATTTCAAGCATTGGGAGAAGAAAAAAAGTAAGGATTTAACTTCCGTCTCACTTTATCTCATTATGATTTCAAACTATTGTGCCATTTAATTGTTTCCACACTCCTACTGTCGAATGGTCAGGTAGATATTCAAAATACGGAAGTTCTTTTTGTATAAATGTGTCATATGAATTCTATAAGGAGAAGGAGATACATGCGGGGTTTTTTTTTTTGTTTTGTTTTGTTTTTCCTGCAGTGAATACAAATTGTCTTGGTTTTCCAGAAAATAGATTTACTCCTAAGGGAAACATGAAAAGTATGTAAGAGAACAACAAAGTTAACTACCTGGGAACCTGAATGCATTTACAACTGCAAGCAGATGTATTTCACAAAAGCAGAGGAAGTATGATTCAAAAGTGTGTATTTCTGATAGGATGCTTTTTGTGTCTATCATCCTAATTTTGACTCATGCATTTGAAATGTGATCTCACATTCATTGGGAAAAATTAGGCTCCTTCATCTCTTCAAGGAATTAAAAAAAACCCAACATAACAAACAACCAACACATGAAACAAACAACAAAATCTCACAAAACTGGGAATTCAAAGGCAGTCAAGAACGAGGTATTTTCAGATCTTGCAGCAGTACTGTGTTTTATGCTAGCTAGAAGAAAAACTGTAAAGGAATCAATTATGTCCAGGGTTTTCATAAAAACACAGTTAATGAGCTAACAATACAGCAGAAAATGGGATGGTACATGCAGCTTTAACATTGACAGCAGATGCTCTATGTTATGTACCAACAGTGAGCCCATAGCACTACACGTGAACAAAGATGAGTTCAAGAATGGCAGGGAATCTGTAGTCATAGCTCCCAAAAACCATTCAAAATAACTGTGGATGTAAGGAATCCACTTTCTAGATGGAAAGTTCTTTCATGGCACTGAATGTTCTGCCCTTCCTAATATTGTATGATTCAGTCTCATGGTATGTCAAAAGTGTGTTATTTACAAACTAAAACTTAAGTAGAACTGTAACAGTTTTTCCAGGATCAAGCTTTTAATGTCTTTGTGGGATAGAATAGTGTCCCTGAACTATAGCTTTCTACCTACTGTATCTATGTGTTTTTTTCTAGAACAGCAACAGTCTTCCTAGTAACTGATTCCTCCCACAATGTCCAGGCACTTCTGCCTTCACATCCAACACAGAACAGTTCCTCAGTTCCTACAGATATGCCAGCTAATACCTTTGAGACACAAATATTAGGGATAAGATAAATAACAGGACTTCAAACTGTTGCATACTATTCAACAGTGAGAGTGTGGAAGATTTCCTGAGAGCTCGCTCTTTTGTTCTTCAAACTCCTCTTTCAGGCTCACTTGGGCACAGACTTCTTGCTTGGATCCAACAGGTCACCTGAGGTTTCCAAGACCTTTCAGAACCCTATATATTTCATTTTTTTACCCTTGAAACCAGCTTCTCGATCTTGCTCTATGCCTGTCTAAGTCATTATGCTCAATGGTCTTCCTTCCATACTGAGGCACAGTTCTGCCCGTGAGGAGTACACAAAGAACGGGAGTTTCACAAATGCAGTCCTGCATCCACTAATACCTAAAACCAGGTCATGCAGGTGTTGTTTGGGAGGATATCTCCTACTAGTTCCCATCACGGCTAAGTAAAAAGATATTACCAGTTCTCTACAGCAAGTGACCTCTGAAGGGAATAAACGTAGAACAATTCTTTGAGGTGACAAAAAGGAAAAGTGAAATGTATTCACTCTGAGCTGAAACTGTTTTCCAACATCAGGCAGACCAAAACATTTGAAAAGATTACTAGTTTTACCTCTTTTCCTTTGTCATTGCAAAGGATGAACCAAAAAATGAAAGAAAATTAAATCTGTACAGCCAGTCCTTCCTGGTTTCCAGGTTATTCACATTACTCCTCTAAGATATATTATAACATCTCTAGACATTGCTCTTTTTTTAAAGTGTCATTTTTTCCAGACCTCCTCTCTTATTTTCAAATGAAATTACTATTTAAAAAATAAATTAAAAAAAAACAAAACAAAAACCCAAAGAAACCAAAGCCCCCTTTTTTTTTTTTTTTAAGTTAGTATGATCAAACTGTATTGTTACTTCCTTTAGTGATCATTCCATGAAGTTAATTAAGATTAGTGTACTAGAAATGTATGGGGCCCCAGTTACTCTTCTGAAAGCACATAAAGATCAGCTCAATCTGGATGGGTTACTCTTTAATAAGAAAAAAAACAACAAACACAACATTTTTATTACAGTCTGAAAATGCTCGAGAAGATGTTTTCTTAAGGAAATCTTGCAAGGAGTAAGACAGTCATTCGCAAGACTGTAGTTAGACTGAAAAGCCATTTTGCAAACAATCCAAAATTAGTGGAAGAAGAAATTTCCTCCTGACAGTAGAATTAATATTGTTTGTACCCAAAAGTTCTATAAATGTTTCACTCCCAAGGAACAAAACTCTTTCTATGACTTATTCTAGAATGCACAGCAAGTGCATGGCAAAACTCAGAAGCAGATTATCTTCAGTCCCAATCTGCTAATACAAAATATTTACTGTAAGAGAACTATGGGAGAGCCTGTTATTTTTCATGAAACAGATTATCTGAGCCAAAAGGAAAAAGAGGTTATATCACACACACTCCAAAAACTTCAGTAATGTTTTGCTGAATAACCGTGCTTTTCTAAAATCTACCAGTACTCAAATTTCTGTGCATAAAAATGACACTTTATTTAGTGGAACTCTTCAACATATATAAAAGATACTTTCTGTGAAAGTTCTCAATCATTTTGAGGTTATTGATTCTTGCAGTCTTCCTCTGATACTTCAAGATTATTCACTCTACTTCATCAATGCAGCTAATTCAAAATCCAGAGTAAAAGTAAAATGAAACTAGTCTGATTTAAGAGAAACACAGAGCCCCTCCTGTGTGGCTTAAGTCCCCATACAAAATTCTTCCATCTATTGTTAAATTAAGAAGGAAAAAAAAAAAAAAAAGAAAACACAAAAAAAGTCCAAAATATTGATCCATGTGCATAAAATGCTAAACAGAATCATGAACTTCTTTACCAGACTGAAAAAAACCCCACATAGTAGGCAAATATTTTGGTCAAACCAGTTGGATACTTAAACCTGATTACAACAGAAAAGCATCTACAACTTCAAAGCTGTTCAATATTTTAAAAAAAGGAGCATACTGTGACTTGACAATGTTGGAAGTTTATATTCAGTAATTGTGTTAAGAAGTCTTAACAAAAATGTATTACTTTTAATCATTATTTACTTTGTGTTTACTTTTAGGGATTTTTAAGCCAACTGAAGATTCATAACGCCATATAGAAAAACACTAGAGCTCAGGGGGAAATTTGAATCAATCATTACAGTACATGCATAACTATACTACATACCCATGGGATGTAGCCACAAAAGCAAAAAACAGTTTGTAGTCCCCATCCTGCATCTCCATCATGACAGTAGCCAGCCTGCACACACTGCGGGCCAGAAACCCAAGCAACTGAAACTGGTGAACTCCATAAATTTCAGTTCAGCTAATGCTGATTTTGCCCAACTGCTTCCAGAATGCGTGTAATTTCCAAATTATAACCACATGGATTTACTTGAGGGGGAGGAGAGGTTACCTCTCTGGACGAAATTTGTGCTTGTGTGGTCTCTGAAGATCCCAGCGCTGACACTCCTTGCCTGACTCGGTGTGATCCATCGGCCCTCTGTAGCTCTCTCCATTGCAGGTCATGCATTCAACTAGGGGGAAAAAAAAAAAAAAAGTACTAGTCATTTATTATGCTGGTGACTTGTAGCAAAACAAACAAACAAAAAAAATAATATCCCTGCTGTTCTAAATTGAAACCAACCTAGACAGGTCGGAATCACTTTAGAAGACATGGCTTCAAAGCAGATAGGTGTCAGATGCTAGAAACATTCACGTTCCCAGCAGACTTTTTAACCTTACCTATAGTTAGTAACGGACAGCGATGCACATCTAAGGAAGGAGTAATTTTTGGAGGCAATTCTTTTCTAATTAAGTAACAGTCATTATTCTATATCACTCTAAGCCATAGTATATAATAACAGCATGTTTAAGTACAGAATAATGGCTGAATCACCATTTCAATGCAGTTCAATCTGTCTCTTTAAATTCCCACCACTTTCAACTACATATGACACTGTTTCTTTTCAATACTAATTCTTTTTGGCAGCTTAAACTGTGATACATTTTCAGCCCTGATTTGGAAAAAAGAGGGTAGAGGGAGAGTGGGCAAAAACTACCAAAGGGATTTGAAATAACTGTTGAATAAAATATGCTTCATAATTTAAAATGAGAAGCTTAAAATATAAAATAAATTCCCCATAATTAACTGTAGACATACTTCTCAAGTGCCCCCTAGTTAGAGGAATTGTAACAAAGGATCACTTAGTAAATACTAACTTATGCAATTACAGATCTCACTCTTTGGTCAAAACAACTGCTACCAAAGTCTCAATCCTGCAGTGAGCTCCAGGTCTTGTCCTATTTGAAGCTCACTTATATTGATCTTAAATGTTAGTTTTTAGTAGATTTTTAAGCTACTTATTAATCATGCTTTTCTTCTCCCTTTTCTTCTCCCACCACTATATAGCTATTTCACATGACATGTTAACGGGATAATTGAAGGCATCCAATCTTGAGAATTTAAATGGGTTGATTGACTGGAACTGAATTGTCTGATTAGCAAGATATACAAGCTTAGTTTGGAGGTTAACGGAACTTAAAAGTCAACAAATGCAATGGAGCACAAGTGTCTTGAATTCTGTGACTTGCAAGTTGAACAGGATTTGACTTCTAAAAAGTTTTACCTGTATACAGTATTCATTTTAAAAACAAATGCATGCTTAGCTTGAGCTTTCATCCTGTAATACGATATCTGTATTTTCATCAAAAACAAGTAGAAAAGTTGGTATTACCACGAAGTGGGAATAGATTATTTTATCACATAGTAATACTGAAATTGTTAATGGATTCTGTATGGAATAGACAAGTGAAAAAAAGGGTCACATTTGTGCGATCAGCACAATTTCATTACTCCAGCTCCTCTGTGACCTGAAAAAAAGCTGTTAAGCCTGAAAGCTTGTTCAAGTTTTTCAGGCTACTGGAACATAACAAGATCTCCTCTTACTCTAATAGCTGCTTTTCTTGCTGCCTAAGCTATTCTTGCTGAGAAATCACCTATTCTTTCTCTGAAGTCTGTGAGCAAGTCTCACTGAAACTACTGTTAGTCTTGTGTACCTGTTGGCAGCAGAGAAAAAGTAACTTTCCACGTGAGCTGTGCCAGGTTACCTTGTGAACAGAGAGGGATGTCACAGACTTCATGGCGTGTCTCTGGACTGGTGGTGAAACACCATGGTCCTCCTTCTTCTCCTCGGGGGTTTCGACAGTAGTTTTCCCGCAGATCTTTACCCCGATAGCTCGAAGGTAAAAAGCTAGTTTTAAAATGACAATCATTACAGTATAAGAGCATGCAAGCTTTGGTGTTAATCATACTATTTTTTACACTTAGAAATCACGTTGCTTCCTTCTCCCTCCACCCTGCCTACACAAATGCACACACCCAAATATCTGTCCATACACAAATACACATCTTCAGTCAGGGTTACTCAATCAATGGCCTAAATCTGGGACAATATGTCTAGCCCATCGCTTGCTGTAGTGAGTTTTACTCCCGTCCCTCGGGCATCTGAAGCCAACTATCTGAGCTGCAGAGGCAGTGGCAGCAGCAACACTCCCTGCCAGCCCTAACTGTGCTCTCCTGGCCCTGGACAAGTCCCCTGGACAAGAGGGGAAATGTACTGGGTACATAGGGAAAAACTCATTAGATCTCAAATTTTGGGAGTTCTAAAACTTGTTCCAGATTTTTTTCTTCAGTAGATTTAAAATGTTGTGGAAATATCATAAGTAAAGGGCACTTTCTCTTCTGAAAATAATTTATCTTGAGTGTTTGTTTGTTGCTGGGTTTTGTTTGCTTGTTTGTTTGGTTTTGTTTGTTGTGTTTGCTGGGTTTTTTTAATAGCCAAGGGAATTCAAATTTATCTATATTCTAGAGGGGAAAAAAAAAGGAATAAAATTTCATGTAGCTTATTTTAGAAGATGGTAAACACTTGAAATTTAGCAAAGGAAACTAAGCTCTTGGGACAGTCTATACATGGACACTGATTCAATTTAAATAGCACAGTAGAAAAGAACTGTATTGTTCCTGTAGTCCTTGGCAAATTCTATGTTACAAATGAATTTTTTATTTTTTTTTTTTAAGAGAGAGAGAAAGAAAGAGAGAGAAACAAAAAGAAAATTCTGACGTGACATTTTGATGATATTTTATTCCCATCAGTGAAATCTTTGAACTAACTGAAGTGGAAAATACCTTTGTTAATCGCATTGTGGTTCTAGTCAAGGCAATGTGGAAGCATTACTTAAAAGTGTTTTTCTTATTTTTGGTGCTTGAAGAGGATATTTTTTATGTCATTACTGCTGCCTATAAAATTGCTGCTTGTATTTTTTTCTCTGTAGTCTTGTAATCCAAACCTCCTAATTTTTTTTAGTTAAAGACAGCCTTGAGCAAACTTTTCTGATGGGACATTGCAACCTGTGTATGTGTTAATGTAATATGTCAGTGCATATTAGAATGGTTTATTTAATTTTCCTGCTGGAAAATCTATTTGCTCAGAAGCTAAAGACATTGGAAAATATAGGGAAAAGGAATTTCAAATTATGTCGGATAATGTGTTATAACTTTTTTATAAAAAAAATATAATGGATAGCATTAGAAACTCAAGATTGGTCTGATACGCAAATGGCTTCAACAGGTAGTGAAGCAATATTCTTGAGGAAGGAAAAGATGAGATCCAGTAAAGACCCACCCAGAAATGGAAGAAAGAGTCACTCCTAAAACTTTATGCTGATTTAGTTTAGCCAAAATCTGCAGCCAGTAAGAGTAATGGTAAAAGTAGATTCAGCTATAGCAAAAGTCATGGAAACTAGCAAAAATCCTGGAAATCCTGGTCTAATCTTTGGTAATTTCTCTTTGAACCCTTTTTACATTGGCTTTCTCCATTTAGATGAAAAAATCTGAAGAGGAAAATAAAATATAAGTCTTGCAATCTGTGCTAGGATGGAGATGAAAATAATGGAATCCTGATTGCAGATGGGAGTCTCCAGGTTCTACTGAAATAAAAATAAATAAAAATGTAGTTTGTTAAATCCAAGCACAAGTTTAAAGTCTGAAGTTATTTCAGTTCTTGCAAGAGAGATAATGAAAAATCAGTAAAGTACATTTCTCCCTTGAATATAAAAAGGGATTTATTTCCTATGGTACTTTGTGGTAATCAGATGTTGAGAAGAACTGACCTAAAAATCTAAGCTTTTCATACTAATAAGTTCCAAGCACACCACTACTGTCTCCTTCTTCCCATCTGCCTCATCTCTCTGATGATGAAATCATATTTTCTGATGTTGAAAAACAAAATTAGCATGCAGCCACCTCATTTACCAAGTGACCTTTTAAAAATTAAACTTGTTGCACAAGGCAGGAAAAAAGTCATTCTCATAAAATTCATCATAGAAGAGTGGCTGTCCAAATGTATTAGATAAAGCTGTGTATGTTGGATATTAAAATGCAATTTAGTGATAGTATATACTATCCAGACACTTTTCTTTCTTCAATTATATAAAATTGTATGTTTATTATATAGAATAAATGCTCTTTCTTGCATAGGCTGTAATTATTGAGAGTTCTTTCACCTCTGAAAGATGAAGATTGTATACCTCGAAGTGTTGAGACTCGAGAGGCCACTGCTGTAGGAGCTGATGGCATTTATCATACATTCACAATCAAGAGTGGGTCTGGTCCCACACTTAAAATCAGACACATAACCAGCTATATTGTAAGCAGCCAAGTCCAGTGAAGTTCAAGCCTGAGGCTCAGCTTTGTAACACATCATAAAAGGGGAGAATTCAAGTATCTTTTGCCTTTTAATGTTGTTCCAAGATATCATCTTGCACACTGGATAGATTCGGTCATGACAGGACTGAGCAGTGCAGAGCCCAATTCCTCATGAGCAGTCACCAGCTCGGCTCCCTTCTAAGCAAAGTGCTGATGCTGAGAGTCCAGAGCAAAAGGCAGCAATGTGGATAGGGCTTATGGCTGAGAGGACACTTTGGTTTTGGCTTTTAAGGCTTTATAATATAAATGGCTAAAGCCCACACAAAAAGGTTCAAAAATAAATGGTCAAGGAGTAGAACAGTACTTTGTAGTCCTTTTGCCAGTATCCAGCGATGTTTATTGTGGTTGAATCTGTTTTTATAATTATTCTTATTTGCTTCAGGTTTTGGCTTTCTTCTGTTTTTCCTTAGCCAATATAGTTGAACTAAGTCTACTATTGAGATGTAGATAGGGCCCCAGATCCTCAGTATATCAGGTCTTAAACTTGAAAGTTAAGTTCCCTACCTCCTGCATCAATCTTTAGTTATTGTCCATATGATCTGAGGGAAAGGATACTGTTTAGTCCTTTCCATGTATTTGTTGCCTGGTCTAAGTCCATAGTCATAGAGTTCAAAATCTTCTACAAATAATAGAGAATAGTAACTGTGCAGATATAGTAATAATCATTTTATACTGATCAAATAGGTGGGCTAAAATCCTTAATATCCCTCTCTTGCTAATAATTTCTTTTTTAAAAATTATCCATTTCCTGGGAGTCAGTTAGACAACAGTGATGAACTTCCAGACCCCAGGCTGAAATTATGCAGATGTTTTCATTCTGCCAGTAGCTAAGAGATCAAAAGGATACAAACAGCTAAAAAAACTGACACAGGAAAGGAAGGGATCCAGACACACAGGATGGTATTAAGAGAGACCTCTTTGGAGAAAGCCCAAGAAGGTAAGGATTTTCTGGGATCTGGAGAACAACATCTCTTGGGTAAAGGCAAGAGAGTACACCTAAGAGATTTTGTTGTCTAAGGTCAGATTTCTCATAAATTCTTTGTCTGTTAATAAGTCAAACCATGCTTTATGGAAGCTGTCTGAGCATTATTCTCATTGTCTCTGCTCATGAACTCTTACCTGTGCTCATGGGGGATCATTGAATTCCAGGCTTGACACTGGATACCACTTTTTGTAACAGATATTGTTCCTTTGTAGTCTGCTCCCTTTCCAATTATACAATTTCTGACATAGTCTATTGGAAGAAGTGAGAAGAAAATTAGGGGTCTGGTTAATGCATTTAAAATTAGGTTAAAGATCATCAATTTTCATATAAAAATAATATATTTTATAACATTTTAAGACTTAATTATTCAAAACACTGTTTAAATGTCCAAATGTATATTTTTTTTAAAGTATTGATCACTAATATCCCAAAGAAAGCTGCTGAAAATGTTTCCAAACTGTCTGATTGAACAAAAATCCATGTCTCAGGACTTAAATCCCTTAATGGTAAATTAGTTAAATAAAAGCAATATTAAATTAATAACTGATAAAACTGAGCTTTTAAGTAGTAAACTGAAGTAGCAATTCAGACTATTACATACACTGGTAGGCAAATATGCAAAACTGCAAGAGTAAGTATGTAGATCAACTTGCATTACAGTAAAACCAGGATATTTCTGAATAAAATTGTAGAATCCAGCTCTCAGAATGCATAAAACCATCCTAAGCCCAGGATGCTCCTACAGCTGAAAAGTCACTAACTGACCTCAGCTTTTTTTCTCCCTCTATAGCTGGAAAAACAAAATCAGTAAATAAATCAGTTACCCTTTTTTTCATACAGATCAAACGCATGGTCTTGCTTCTTTCTCACACCATTTGTCAAGCTGTTGAAGGATAACCAATGGCACCGTTTTGTAACTCTGTCATAAGCAAAGGCTCTGCAAAGAAAATCTGGATGAGAAAAAATTCTCTGTGTGGTTTATAATAATGACACATGGTTTGCCAAGGAGCATGCAATGACATCAGATTTATTTTTACTGGGAAAGTCAGAGAAACAGTCCAAATTACTATTTAAACCCACAACTGTGCTGACAAGAACAAAGAAACAAAGAAATTAAATTGATGTGACTATTACATTAAATACCATCTTGGTTGTTCAAACCAATCTGAAAATTGCCTTGTCATTAAAAGTCTTTCTTTTAAAAGTGAGATGAATGTGACTGAGACATCATTTGTGTCCCCAGTTTTGTTGCTTTCCAGGGGAAAAAAAAAAAAAAAAAGGAAGACTAATACACTTTGTATGTTATACTTAGAATATGTCTCTGAAATAGTTAAGTAACTCATACTGATGACTTGAGGAAAGGAGTCTGTTTCTTGCCTAGAATAACAGAGCTGTTTAAAAACGAGATTATTTTTATTTCTGTGAGTAATCTAAATTGTGATAGTGTACCTACAGCTTGTCCTTGCCTTGCTTTTGGTTTGTTTTGTGTGTTTTTTTTTTCCTCTTATTTTTAACTGTTTTCAAGGATAGATTACAACTTGTGCTGAATTGAGTGGATTTGGGGGGAGAGAAGAAAGGCAAGCAGAAATCAGAAGAGTAAAACCACATCTTTTCAGTATTTGAAATTAAATGTGCAGACCTTTTTTTCCTTACTTCATTTTGAAAGGAAATTCCTTAACTGTACCTAAAATAGGATTTTAAAAATACAGTTGACTATCTGTGTGGGAACAACAGTTACTCCAATGAGAAAAACAAACAAGCAAAAAAAAGAAAAAAAAAACAAAAAAACACCAAAAGTTATCTTTTCCTTAATTTCATTAGAAACAAACCCGAAATCACTGAAATAATACTATTGTCCCTAGACCACCACAAAGTCTGCATTTCTATCAGTCATTCCAAAGCTACTGAGATATATTATTCTGAGCTGAAATGGCATTTTAACAGTACTTGATAACACCCAAAAGGCACATAGATTTCCTACTCTTCATCCGTACATTGGTCGTGCCGTATTGAACATTGCATCCATCAACTCAAATCTTCATTTAATTTGCCACATAAGTTTTTCTGTGTGAGATCTTGCTGGCTTCATTTAAAATTATTACAAGATCCTATTCAGTCTCCCCACTCTTCTCTCTTTCAAACATCCCCTTCATTATCAATTCCATCACCAAACAGATTTTTCATCCAACTGCTCTCTCTACTCTGTTGACTCCAAATGTTTCCAACCTGCTAACCTTCATCCTTCTGCCCTTGTTCAGCCTTCTGTTCTCTCCTGGCTGGTTCTCAAATATGAGCGTATCCAATTGCCTCTAACTTCATCTTCACGAAAATATCCCTGACCTTTCCTGTCTTTCCAATTACATTCTCCTTTCCCTCCCCCCCCTAAAGTGGGAATGCAGAATGCACTGTTTACAAACATTTCTTTCAGTTTTTGCCTTTCAGTTGCCTCTTGGTTCCCTTCCAATTTGGCTTCAGCCACTTCTGCACATAAAAGTTTCTAACAATCTTTTCGTGGACAAAAATATGGACAGTTTTTACACTTCCAAAGTCAACATATTTAAGCAATTTCTTGGACTTTCTTCTACTGATACTGCCGATCACAATAATTTTTGTTGTTGCTATTTGTACTGAGGTAGTTGGTAGATTTTCTGATCAGATACTGAAATCCTGTGGTCTATACGGGAGTCCCAGTTCTGTGTAAATACAAAGACATTCCAGAAATGAAGCAGATAACAAAGGATAACCCAGGAACAGCTTTGTAGGTAAGGAAGTAAATTTGTTTATAAAAGTCATCTGCATAGCCAATAAACTATTAACTACATTATCTTTTTCTCATCCGTAAGAAATGTAGTAGGAAAATTGCAAGGATGACTGAAGGAAAAAAGTGGGAGCAATGGACTGCAAATGATGGGGAAACAAAGGAAGACAAACCTAGCAGCAGATTAATAAAGCTGATAGCAAAGACAGAAAATTATGCACAGAGAATTATGAAGTCAAAAAGACAAGTGAATCTAAGGGGTTCTTCAACGGGCGATCTTAGGAATAGTTTTATGAAGAAGAAACAAGTCTACATAAGAAACTGTAACTCAGTTGGAAAAGATCAAGACCCATGAAAGCATGACAGAAAGGGAAAAGAGGAAAGGACCATCCTTGAATGGGAATATATTAGTTGTAACAAAAAGGTGTCAGAGCTAAAACCAGCAAGGATTAATAATTATGAATTATTATACTCACTATTTACTGCAAGTGATACAGAAACTTATCATAAATAAATCAGAAGTGGTTTGTTTGTTGGTTGGTTGGTTTTTTTTCCCCCATTAAAAAAAAAAAAAAAAAAAAAAAAAAAGAGTGGCTGATCCTTTATAAGTCTGCAGTATCTGGATTCTACTATTTTACCACTTTCTGGAAGAAAAGAAACCAAACATTCCTCCTGGTTGTGTACCTCAGAGGGCAAACGAAGGGGTTGCTGCTCCCAGTGCTGTTGTCACAATTATGTCCCCAACGTTTTCTATTTTATTTAATCTTAACTCTTAGAGAAATTGAGTTCGCATACAGAAAATAAAACTTCAGTGTTGTCACCAAAGTGATGGAGAACAACTCTATGGTCATGGAGCATTAGGATCAATGCATGGAAGTATCATAGGAAAATCAAATAAAGGAAAACCCACATGTTGTATTTCAAGTATTTAAATGCCAATTTATGTTACTTCTCTTCTTATTTTAGAATGCTCCCCCAGCAACCAGAAAACGAACTGGTTTTAATTTAAGTTGGCAACAAGTTTCACCTTGTAGTAACCATATACTGATATGAAGTTAAAGACTGGGGATCCTAGGGATAAAAAGGAACTATTAGTAAATAGTTTCTTAAATATTTTCTTTAAAAGGGACAACATATCAAATACATGTTTACAGTAGCATCAAAGAACTATGCACACTACAACAGGACTCATCTGGGGACAAATAAGAAACCACAAGAATCTTCCCAGATACAGAAATGCTGTGCTGCATACTGGTAGCACAGGCAAGAATCACTTCAGCTGCTAGCCTTCCTGGTTAAAAGTGTGTCATGGAAAATGGGAAATTCTGAGGACGAATAGTCAGAGTTGTAATTCGTTTTCATCTTCATTGCAGAATAATTATATGATTGATTGCAATTCTGTTATCTGTGAGTAAGACTCTTCCAAGCTGTGTTCCTAAAGTCCCTCTTGCCTCCTCTGTGTTACTTCATTGAATGATTATGGGAGGAAGAATTTGCCCCTTAATGCATCCATCAGATATCATCTCAATAAAATAAAATTTTAAAAAAGAATAAGTTTTAAAAATTCAGAGATATTCTAAATTATTTGTGTAAAATAGAATAAACAAATATATTGACTTAACTTATATTTTCAGAACACAGAACATATCAGCCTGTAGTTGCCACCAAGGCAGCTACAGCTATCTTGAGATAATTTTCCTAAGTAGATGTTGGAATACAGAATTGTTGTTTGCTTGGCATCACTCGGAATATTTCTGTACTACGGAACGTAATATATAATACTCCTCACTGATGACTGTTAGAACTCAAGGATATCTTGCTTTATTGAATACAACCTGATCCACTTGGCAAGGATACCAGTGGAAGTTCTGCCAATAGGCAAAGGAGTGGCTTGTACCATGTGAAAAATATTAGTAACTGGAAAATATTTTCTAACCAAAATAAGTTACTCTGCTCATTGTTTGCACATATAAATAGTCAAAGTGCAAAACGATACAAATTACATCTTGCAATACTTGAATTAAAACCTTAAAGAAGGATTAAATTACAGTCAAAGGCCTTTTCTGACATGGAAGGGCTTTTGTTATCACATTTAGTCTAGCTTCCATTTCTAGCAATTGTCAAATTTTTTATGTTTCAAGATTAAGCTCAGTTTTAGCCCAGAACTCACCAGTACAGAAGTCATCCATTTTCTCCATGATTCCCTTACATTTGTGTCCTTTCATTTATTGCTAATGGTCTAGACTAAGAGAGGCCAGGGGGATAATTTAAGTCTAATACATGGGAAAAAATAATAGTCATTTGTTCAAAATAGTAGTGAATATGTACAAAGCAGACAAGCAATCAGCCATATGATGTGTTTCTAAGTGGCAGCAGATGCAGAAGAACAGCTATCATATACTTGTAATGATTGTACAGCTCAGAAGGTCCGATTCCATTGTATCAGATGTGCAGTACTTGCCAGTGAACTTCAGCAGTGC